GCAACATTCATTCACAGTAGGCATAAATATAATCGTAGACGCACATGATATGCACAGAATTGAAGTTTCCAATTTATTGAATTATATAACATCTTAAAATTTGTAAAAATGTAATGCATTTTATGTTATTGTAAATGAACGCATTTAGGCAGTGTGAAGAGAGAAGATAAAATGTGTCTCTGTGTACATATATAAAGTGTGTACTTGCAGTGTGTTTCCTGTCTAAAACAGTTGAGAGGGTGTTATATTTTTTTCATTTTCAGAAAAACATTGAGTGGGCCCCTAAGGTGGCTGCATATTTGCTCGGTGAGTAAGGAATGTGGTTGCATGCCTTGCTCATAAGCCAGATTCAGCTCACACACAGTAAGAGCGAGAGAGAGAGAGATGGGGGAGACAGAGTGAAAGTAAGCAAGAGAGGAGAGAGACGGGGCAGACTATGCTCACGGCAAATGAGCTCATTCACTCTAAGGTCACAGAGAGAGAGAGAGAGAGAGAGAAGGCGGGGAAAGACTTAAACGGAGGCTGTACAACAATAGTGAGCTCCACTTTCAGTTGTTGCCACACTGAATGAGATCGAGGACGGATCCGTGGCGCTCCTGAGGAAAGACCACACACTTCTTCTGCCCTCGTCTGTGAGGGGGACGCGGTTGTTGCTTTCTTGTGGAGCACCTTTCGGATATATAGTTCTTGGACTGCGATTCGGACTGGTTGTTGCGGATGCCCCTAGACGTGGTCATATCCCCTCCAGAGAACTGCTTCTGGTCAGGGATCCAGCAAACAGACATGAGGCTCAAAATCAGAGTCTGCAAGATGAGAAAAGAACGCAAGCTAAGAGGTGTGTAACATCTGTTGTCACCTGGACCGATGGTGCTTTTCCAACTGTATCTGTCAAACACGTGTTGGTTTGAGGTTATGCGCTGTTTCATCCTCTTGCTCTTTCTTTACTTTTGTCCCAAATATTTGCAACTGGCTGATGTTAGTATTTTATTTAGTCGTTCTTTAAACATAAATTTATGTTAAAGAGTTAAACATTAACCTATCATTGCTATAGAGCTTCTATGATTATCTCCTCGAATAGTAGAAAATTAAACGGACATGCATAGGATTTATTTGAGGTGAGTATATTTATTAATGCACTTTCTTTGTGTGTGTGTTCATGGTTCATAACGTTAGGCACACATGCAAGTGTATTATTTGAGTTGCGTGTGCATTCTACTGATGTCACCAAGTGCAAGTTAAACAGTTGGACTTTGCCATGCAATTGACTTTTATTCCAGTGACGTCTAAGTTTCTGTAATGGCTTTAGGGCAGAAATGCAATAATTGTAATAGTTAATGATTCAATGATACAGGGTCCTGGGGTTTAACACTTCTAATCTGTCAAGCATGACAACAAAGCGCCGGGAGTGATGAGGTAGCCACCAACCCCCTGCTGTTTTTTGTGTTCCTCATTGTGCAGCATGCATGTGTGCAATGATGTCATTGGGCCTTTATTGAGATGCTAATGTGTGTGTGTGTGTGTGTGTGGGTGTGGGT